GTGGGCGCAGGCTCCTTGGGAGTGGTGGGAGCAGGCTTCTTGGGGGTGGTGGGTGTAGGCTCCTTGGTGGTGGGCGCAGGCTCCTTGGGAGTGGTAGGTGTCGGCCCCTTGGTGGTAGGTGCAGGCTTCTTGGGGGTAGTAGGAACAGGCTTCTTGAGGGTTGTGGGAGTGGGCTCCTTGGTGGTGGTGGGAGCAGGGGATTTGGTTGTAGTTTCAGCTTCGGGTGTAGATTTAACAGGAGCTTTGGATGTGGGTACAAAATCTTTAGGAGGTGTTTTTTCTGCATTTCTTGTCTCTTTAGTTGAAGTCTTCTCTTTTGTTCCACTTGAAGTCTCTTTGTTTGTTAAAAAAGCCTCTTTAGTTTCAACTGTTGCCTCCTTATTAGGTGTTGAAGGTGTCTCTTTGGATATATCAGAATTAGGTGGAAGACTGGGTTTAGGATTTATTGGTTTGCCTGTTGTAATCTTGGGAGATGTGGTAACTTTATTGTGTTGGGTAGTAGGAATGTCAGGAGTTGGGGTGAGCTTGATGTCACCATTGTCCAGTCCACTTCCAGCTTCATCTACAACTGGTGGTTCTGGGGTAGGTTTCTTTTTGGGAGTTCTTTCCTTCTTGTTATCTGTTACTAGAAAAAAATACATCTTTTATTTTTGAGTAGTTTTCTCTTGAATAGTGACCTAAAGATCCCATCCTTATCAACAAGCTATGTATCCCAAGCAAATTGCTAACCTGTAATATGTCTATTAACTTGTTATAAAATGGTAAATACTGAACTTATCTGATTGGCCTATTTTAGGGAATAATGAGAAGGGGTGAAAAGCACAAGTTAAAGTCTATACAATTAATGTATAGAAACAAGTGGCAGCTTTGAAATTACCAACATGATCAATAACACTAATTCATCTCTCTGTAAATGCTCTTTGCCCCTCACTCTCTCCCTTCCTCTTATTTCACATTGCTCAGTGACCCGTATTCCCCCCTGGAAACCTAGTTCCAACATCTTGTAGATTCACTGCACCAATTGCCTCAGAGACCTCTACAACTACACCCCGGGAATCTGTCCAGTCACCGCAATGGTCCCTACTGAGCTCTGTTTCCATACACATGGCTGTTAGCTGCTCTCTTTCCTCGGCGCACCTAAACTCAGCAGCCCTGGCGATACAGAGAGATTAGGATGCCATGGCAGCAAAAGACCCTGTTCAACAGGATTTCTCATAGCAGCTACCCCACAGGTGAATTTCAGAGCCCAAAGAGCATATCAAGAGCTCATCACTGAGATGAGTTCCATTTAGCAAACATGTACTGCACTTCTATGGTGTGCAAGACTCTTTGGATGATTCAAAGACTATGTATTTGGCTATTCAGCCAGAGAAAAGGCTTCAGGGGAAATAACAACCACCCCAGAAATAGAGTTCTTCAAAACTCCAGTATCCAAAATTCAGTCTTTCCTGGAGAAAAAGAATATATTTTAGAATTTCAGGAAATAAAAGCAGAACAAAGGGAATCTCTTTTCAGAAGGTAACAGTGTAATCTGTAGTGCATTCTCTACTACAAAAAAAAAAAATCAGCCAGATATGACATATAATTTATTAGAAAAATAATAAAAAGGAGCTGTAAAATATGGATAATAATATTGCCTTTCCCAGAGATGTGTATGAGACTTTAATGGATTAACATTTTAAAGCACTTAAAGCAGCACATAAGTGTTTGCAAAATAAAATAAATAAAATTAAAGGAAAAATAACACAAGGAACATAGAAAAAGGAGAAGAAAGAAAAATGTATCAGGTGGACAGGAATTAAACTTGAAAACCATAAATGAGCATCTCTGGTGTCATCCTGTGGTTCTAGAGCTGCTGCTCTAGCATCTTCTTATCCTTTGCTTTAAAGAATGGTTTCTTAGCTGCTTTGCACTAGTTTCCTATGGGAAGTTCTCATTAGTATCTCCTACAATAATTTTTACAAATCAGTACACGCCCCAAGTACTGAAATGTCCTCAAATCATTCTACCAACGTGCATTGCTTTTAGATAATTATTATTAATATGGCATTGATATAGTCTTTGATCTTTATCAATGCTCAAACCTTTGGGTTTCTTCTTTAATTCTTTATTAGCAGCTGAATTTTTGGAAGAGTTGATTTTCCGAATAGTTGAAGAGGAAGAGGAAGAGGAGGAAGACTCTTGATTTTCAGAAACAGAATGTTCTATAAATCAAATAAAAAGGTTGATCACACCAACTGTAATTTAAAGCAAAAAACTGCCAGTCCAAATGCAACAAGAAATAATGTTTACTGAGCTACAAATGTCTGTTTTGCTTTTATTTTATCAGTAATATGATCAACTGTTCTTTTAATTTGTCAGTAAAAAGCAAGGTAGTTACCTTATCACAGGTACTAGCAGTATATTACTTTCTCTCAACTTTCCCCTCTCTCACTGAATCTAATTATTCTGCAGAAAATCACCTGAGATTTTTTTTTTTCCAATGAGATGTATTTCTTCTGATTATTTTAACCTACACCCATGCTGGGTTCAGTTATAAGAAAAATAAATAGCTGATGGTTTATAATTTGGCTAAAGAAAAATAAATAGCTGAGGGTTTATAATTTGGCTTAGACTTAGACTTTAAACACATTTTAAAAAGTGTAATGAGCCTTTCAAGACTCACATGAGTCCCTTATTCTATGAAGAGTCTTATAAAAGTAGTCCACCTACAGCTTAGTCCCTCTCAAAAGCTTTTATTACATCTGTCATCTTCCTACCTTCTGTTATTTCCTCTGATTCTATCACTTTCTTAGTCATCTTCTTGTTTGGTGCTTTGGGTGAACGTTTGGTTGTTGATTTGATGGTTTGAGATGCTCCTGGAGGTGGAGGTGAAGCCTTTGAAGATGGTGGTGTTGTGGGATTATGCACTGAGGCCAAGCAAGACAGGTGGATTAACATCTTGTTGACATTCATCAGCAGCTCTTAACTGTGAAAGGCACGGATGCATCTGGCTTCAAGAATCAATGCTGGTGAAAACCAGCGTAGGCATGCTCTTAGCCTAACACTAGTTACTCCAAAGCAATTAATTCTAAAGATGCATTGCTATAAAATATTGGTTCTGAGATTGTTATAAGTTATGACAAGGGGCAAAGGCTCAGGGGTCAGAAAACCTGAATTCCAGTCCTCGACCTGCAAGGTGCTATCCTTGTGACCTTGAGCAAATGAGCTAACCCCGTCTTGAACTTTGTTTTCTTGTCTGCAAATTGAGATGTTTATTCTAGATGATTTCTGAAGGTATTTCCCGGCCTAAACCATACTTGACTCTATCAGCTCCGTCCCTTATGCCAATCTTCTGTGATGATAGAAATAATTACTGCATGTGACTGAAAGGTATTTGTGCTCTCAGGAAGAGAAATAAAATAATTACATTTGTCCTGTTTTCATATTCATTTAAATCAAATGATGCCAATTCACCTTTTTTTTAATTACAAAAGTTCTGCATGAATATTACTCTTGTAAAACGTTCACACCTTCACATTATGCTTTTCTCAAAATGTGTGGCCCTTCCCCAAGTTAAACAACCATTAATGGTTTGGTGTGTATCTTTGAAACTTTTTCTGTCCCATCTGCCTACCCTTTCTATGTCTAGAAGAGAAGTCATGGGACATGTTTTGATCGTTAGGAACCAGAAGAAAAGGAGAGGGACTTCTGAAAGATAAGAAAGCAGAGAACAGTGGGGAGGCTTTGAGTAGAGAGAGTTGTGATAAATCCTGCTGCTCTTACCGAACACCCCCTAGGAACTCTGGCCAGCGCAGTCTCCATGAGCTGACAACCGCACTCTTTCCTCTGTCTCTCCCACCAAATAGCTCAATTTGAGAAACAGTTCTGCCATACTAGCTAGTGATCTTGAGCCAAACAACCTCTTGGACTGTTTTCTCACCCACATTTGTTCAGTTCTCGAAATGTTACAATTTTGAGATACATAGATGCTTACAACAGTATCTATAGACCCCGAAACAACCTAAGAGGTGCCTGGTGAGATAGTTTGGCTGTTATTCTTTAAAAATGAAGTAGTGAAGCTCTGGGTGGTTCCATTCTTTTCAGTGGAAACCCGGACTGTCTTAATGAATTCTGTAAATGAAGCATGACCTTCATCAATTTTCTTTGTTTAGCATAAGCCTCGGGTAATCTGACCCACCACCTAGTAGCATAAAGCACTGTCTTTATTAACATGTCCTTGCAATGCTTCATCACTCTCTAACCATCCTCCCTCCCCACCCATCCTCTGCCCAAAATAAAGTCTTAGTTTTTTGTCTCACAGCCAAAACAATTATCAGGGCACTGAGGAAATATGTATCCTTCATCCTGAGATCCTTCTCTGAGAGCTGCAGGAACCCGGCAGAGTTTTTGATTATATGGGTGTTGTCTCCATCATTTCTGGAATGCTGTCCAATGAAAACATTGAACAGTTAAGAAATAGCCCTCAACTATGCTGACTAACAGTTTTTTACCCTATTTCTCCACTGTTCCAAAGAAGCAGGACGTACAGCCTTGTTTAAATGAAATGATAAGATTATGCAAGCAATGCTTATTGTCACCTTTACCTCCACAAATATTGTTGTTTTAAAAGTAGAATTTAAGAGTAAACATTTGGTTAAAAAAAAGGAATTCGTTATTTTTTTTAAGTATTTTTTTTTATTTTTTGGAAAATCTGAAGAGTTTTATTGTACTCTCAGAGTACTCCTTCAGGACCTATAATCTCAGAGTACTCCTTGAGGACCATAACCAGAGAAGAGGATTTTAAAATGGGACAATATCCCTTTTTATCTATTCTATCACACACACGGATTTAGATAGTGATGACCATGGACTGCAGAGATGGGAAGAGACATACAACAGATGGTTAACAACTTCTTGGTAGGTTTGCCTATAAATTTAATGTGTTTAACTCCTAAGTTGACTAGTTTAGAGAAGCCGAAAGTGTCATTCGGTCCTTCAATATACACGCAAAAACACTAAAGCCAAAAACACAGCTAGCCCAAAGGACCACCGACTGTGGGGTCAGCACCATTAGGATGAGACAAGAAATCACTGAGTAAGCTGGTTACTGTTGACTTCACCTGAAATTGGACCACACCTGAGGAAAAAGCACGTACACTCGGCCCCTGTCCTCTCTGTTCCTCAACCAGCAATCTCTGATGCTCCTGGAGCCCGGCGGAGCCAGGCAGCGCTGTTGGAAGAGGCATTCCTTCTTTAATTCATTCTTGGTGAAGCAAAATTAATACAGAGTGGCTTGTGTTAGTAAAATCAAGTCCCTAGATGGAGTGCATATTAGACATTATCAGCAAAGCTAAGGTAGGTGCGCAGGTCTGGCCGCGCTGAGAGGTGCTGATTGGCATCATGATGCTTACCTTTTCCACAAAAATTCTCATAATCGGGACAGCACTTGCCATACTTCTTACAATCTGAGTCACAGTCACACTCCCTCCCTCTTGCAAAGGACTCGAAGCAGCGGCCTTTACAGGAAAGCTCTACCCAGAGCAAAACAAAACATTACAGATTATTGACTACGCAGTCACACCCATGTACTGATAGCCATTTCCCACCTGATAGCTGACTAGAGTTCCAAAAGTGCATTTCTGAGTCTTTCATTTGGGATTTGGAAAATAGGTAGTTTTCCAAGTGGAGAAGTCAAGAAAGAAATATGATGACTCAGAGAAGTTTTCTTGCCCTTCAAGGCTCTGAGAAACACCCCAGTGCTGTCATTCCACATATGTACAGTGGAAAGGTGGGAACCCTTCACATGAAATCCTCCATCCTCTTCACCTTGCACCACTGCTTTGTAGTTGATGTTTATTAAATGAACGTTCAGACCTCACAATATTCCAAAGAGCTGGCTTAATACAGATGGGTCCCTGTTTAGGCTCAAAAATCACTTATAATGCAGAGACTTTGATTATGACAAACTGAGCAAGGTGTAGAGTTGGAAGATTTCAGCCTAATCCCATAGCCTGGATTATGCCTGCTCATGCCAAAACAAGCCTTGGCTAGAGGCACAGTAACTTACCAAGGCCTATTTGAAATGATCACCTTATACGACACATAACTGTACAGCAATATATTTATCAACTTCACCTATAAATTCTAAAGTGAACATAACTCTGAACCACTTTTAATTATAATCTTCAAAAGTTGGAGATTGAAATGTCCCTGTGTTAAGAAAATGATCCAAAAGTGTTCAAGGGAAATACCACTCATAATTTAAAATTCAGACCCTTTGGGTTTTAACTGAAATTCCTCATGAAACACTAATGCTTCGTATTTAAAGTGCCCTTTTTTGGGTACTTTAGAAACATATCAAAAAGTCCAACAGTCGATAAGATTATTTTATATCCATGGATTCTTTTGATGAAACTATTGAAGGACCCCAACACTAAGCAATTACATCTTTGATTTACTTAATGACTCCCGAGTCACAGTATTCTCTACATTTTACTTGGGACTAGTCAACCACCTTGTGCACCTGACAGATTTCCAGGCTCCCCTCCCCACCCTCCTTCCCCCACCCCGCCAGGCCCGAGCTCTGACACCATCCTTAGGTACAGCACGCTGCAACACGTATGCGAGGAAGGGAAAGGCACTTGAGCAAAGAGAAGCGCAAGAGTGTGGAAACAGGTGCAAGGGGACCCACAGAACAGTGTCGCAGGACAGGGGAGACACTAGCTGTCAGGACTTACCCATGGTGCAGACTTTCTTGAAATCAGGGCAGCACTCCATGTAGTGTTGACATTTATAATCACAGTTGCAGGCGGCATCTCTAGAATACCCTTCCCCACATCTCCCTGCACAGCTTGGTAAATCTAAAATTATACAATACTAGCGTAAACATGGCCAAACCGCTTCACGGGAAGGAAGAGATCTACTGAGAAGGATAAAGCCACTTGGCGAGGGAGAATTTTATCAATCGGAAAAGGTCGGGAATGATGGGTAGCAATGGGTCCTGCTGAACTTAGCCTGATGGCTTATGTGACCTTGATCGTGCCACTTTATTCTTCACTAGACTGAGAAGATAAATACACTTTTGAAAATCAGGCAAAGTTAAGGGCTTTGCAAAAAGCCGGTAACATTCCTGGGGGAGGGGTAGCAGCTAGGGCTCTCCTGAGGCTGCCGCTAATGAGGACCAGCTGACATTTCTTCAGCATCTCTGTGCTGGGCACTGAGTTATACGTTATCTCTAATGTTTATGAAAATGTTGCCAGGAGAGTATCAGTAGCCCCTTTTGAGAGATAAGGAAGCTGAAACACAGAGACTTTAATTAATAGCTCAGGGACACCCAGTGAATAGTTCCAGGATATATGTATTACAGGTCAATTAGTACCTATTAATTATTCATACTGACCTCTTTCACTCTCAGAAGTATCCTGATTTGCATAATACATTATATGGTCACCTAGAATTTGAACTCTGAAATCTCTGATTCTAAAGCCCACACTTTTCCCACCCAATCACACTGCGTCTCATCTCTCATGTTGAGTTTAAAGCAAGCTGGTTATGCCAGCAAAAACTTCCCTCGGCTTCCTCTTCTTTTTATTCATGAGGATAACTGCGTTCTTTAAATGTTGAGGAAGTCAGATGCTTGCAACCACAGCTACAGTGAGTACAAAATAGGTAACTGTTCAAATAGCATCTGGGCATGAATATAAAGGTCAGAGTTATTCTGGGTAAAACAAAAAAAAATACAAACAAAAGTGTAATGATCCTCAAATGTATTTTGAAGAATCACTTGGAAAACACCTTCCTGAGAGAATAACCACAAAAATGTAACAATGGAATCTGTCTCTGGAATAGAAACTGTCAGGTGCAATGTCCTAAAGCCAAACAGGGAAGTTGAAACACACTGGAAAAATCTCAAAATAATGAGTCCGGGAAAGTGAAAGTCTTCATGTGCAAAGAAAAGAGCAAATATTAGGACAAGCTTCACAACTTTTTGCGTACACATGTGCACAATACATACAAAAATGCATATATAGTGTATGTATATAAATACATATATATAAAGGAAAAAGAATGAGAAGAAGTTGAAAAGGCAAGACAAGCAGACAACACAACATTAAAGGCTACTCTTTTCTAGTTAGCAGATTTCTGAAATAGGAAATCAATTATCTTTGTAGGAAGAGCAATTATTTTCATAGATAGCTTAGGAAATGCTCTCAGTGTTGCGAGCCTTATAATACTATCACCAGAGAGCAGAGGCGTCTAGAGATGGCGTGGTGGCCATCATTCCTTATTAAATATTCACATTTGCTTTCACCTGTTTTTCCGTCTTATCTAAGTGATTCTGAAACTATGTCCATGGCAGGCAGTTATCTCTCATGCTTAGGCTGGTGGGAATTTTAACTATTTTCTAGGAAGTGTCTATTTTATAAATACAATTTCACCATAACAATCATGCACCTAGATTTTTCTTCTCTCCGGTTTTGCTTGTCAAAGAAACAAAAAAGGAAAAGAAAATCCAACACTTGGTATTACTGTCACTCATCAACCTTGATTGCATGCTAGAGACCTCGGCTAAGGTGATTGTATTGAATGTATCTTAACATTCTCTAAAATGAATAACAAGAACTGTTCATTCAGGACTGCCTGTTTTTGGAAAACTGGAATAGTTCAATATCATAATATATGACATGTGTGCGAATGTAAGTCATATCTGGATGACTAGTCCTTGTAAGAAAGACAGAAATTTCAAGATTAATACAAGGCCGTTTGAAACTTTGTAAATGTTCATTGTAATATTATACTTAGTTCTACATGATGCCAAAATAAGTCATCAATAATTTATGTGATGTAAAAGACTAGTTAAATTTATTGTAAACATGGAAGCAAAGATTACATGTTATTTCAACATTGTTCTTTTCAGTTTGTCTGATGATACTCCATCACACTAGCATAGTTTTATCCTGTGTCTGTATTTTGTTGAACTTTTGGAAGAACCATAAAAATATAACAATGTAACAATGGAAGAACTGCACAGAAATTATTCTATAGAAAAACTCAAAACTTGAAAGATTTCATAAGACATGAGAAAAACGTGAGAATTCCAAAATGCTTATAAATATGCCATATCTGCTTCACGTAACTTTAAAATTGTACATTAACCTCAAACAAATATATGTCTTGAGAAATCTATTTCTTTTGTTGTAGTAATAGTCAACAAAGAATGATGAGCCACAGCTGTTAAATAAAAGTCTTTTTGATGGTTAAGATACCTTGAGAAGAAACTTGCTGAATCAAGAAAACAGAAAGTAGCAGCAAGTACATGGAAAGTATTTTCCACTCCATGGCTGTTTCCAGGTACCGAGCGCTCACTGCAAAGAAAAGAAAAAGTATCAAAAAACTGCTCTTTAGTCTCATTAGTTTATGCCTGTGTCACTTACCGTGTTTGAGTAACTTTTAAAAGGCGATTTAATGATAAAACCATCCCACTCTTGAAACAAGACTTTTAAAGATAATCAGCCTTAATTCTATCATAAGTATTTCACCATTAGATTTAATCTTATGCAGAAGAAATCGTCGAGTCACCATCTCAATCATGTTACTGTCCATTTTAATACTTCCGAATTCCCCCCAAAAGGAAAACAACCTTATCTCAACACTATTTAAATTATAGCATATACTTACAGTGCAAGGTCTAAATTCCAGCTTGGGGAGAAAAAATAAATAAATAAATAACCAACTTCAGTAACATGTAATTTAACAAACGCAGAAGTGACCCTTCCAACTTTCCCTTAACTCTCCGTATAAATTTGTGAGCTTCCAACAGGTGTATTGCATAGCTCTGGTCCTTCTCAAAACTTTCCTACTACTATCCTTATAAATCTTTTTCAAACTCCTTGACTAAAGCATATCCCTATTGAATTGAAAACACATTTAATTCCACAAGGCAAGTTAACTTTGACACTTACCCGTAAAAGCAATAATGAGTTTTTCCAGTGTCCTGGAAGTCTTATATATCAGTGCAAATATATTGGGATGAGCCAATTAGTCCAAAGGTTAGACAGAATCAACAGTGACAACCTATGAAATCAAACTTTCCTCATTTGTTGGAAGAGGGCCCAGACAGCTAGGCTTAGGCAACATCTGAAAAACACTTCCATTAAGAAAAATGACTACTACAAAATAAATTTAGGATTATTGGCCAAAACACACTTCTAATTTCTGAGTGAAATGAACAAATTGTTCTGAGATGGTAAATAGTTCTGACAAGTCTTGACTAGCATATCAAAGCAGCGGTGTCAAAATAGTCAAATATTGGTATCACTTCTTGCTTTTATTGTTCCCCCCCAGCTAAATCTAGCAAAGAGTGATTTTGAAACTTATCTACTATTAGTTTGTGGCGTAAATTTTCTTAAATCAAAAGTCCATTTCTTGAGTGTTTGCATTTTCACTGAGCATAGAAAAAATGCTCTACATTGCCCCAAGGTGGATGGTCCTACTCTGTGTATTTTCTAGCTTCCTTTACCCTGTAAAACCCTGCTTTGAAAGTGTAGATTTCTCCCTTAGCCCCTTTATTTAAGCACAGCAGTGTTTGGGAATGGTCTTTTAAATTACTAATTTAGCCTCCTTACCCCAGAAAATGTGAACTGTCATCTTGCAGAGAGCTAGGTCAGCTCTGCTCAAGGTTTTACCTCAGCTTGATATGAAATGTTCCTGTTAAAATCCTATCTCCCGGGGCCTGACCATGGTTTTGGCTCAGGTTATGATCTCAGGGTCATGGGATCAAGCCCCTCATCAGGCTCTGCGCTCAGCATGGAGTCTACTTGAGATTCTCTCTCTTCGCCCTCTGCCCCTCATGCATGTGCTGTCTCTCTAGAATAAATAAATCTTTAAGGAAAAAAAAAATCCTATCTACCTGCATAAGGCCTGGCTTGTGTACTACTACCTCCCTGAAACCTTCCCGGATCAACCCCAGCCACATCCAGAATCATAGTCAACAAAGGAACTGCCTTTTACGGCAATTATCTGTTTATCTGTCTCCTGCCCACTCCCCCAGGCCTCAGACTGTGGTTTCCCCAAGGACAACCAACACCTGTTCCTTCCTTCTGTTGCCAGCATGTAGTCCAGTGCTTTACTGAAGTTGTGCGTTTACCGCGTGCTCGTCCAACCAAATGGTCATATTCCACGGTGTAGTGGGTATTTGGTAGGTACTGCGTTTAAGTAGCACAAAATGCCTTTAAGTTAAATATAATCCTCCACATTTTACAAATAAAATGAAGACCCACAAATAAAAAAATCTCTGACCCATCGAGGATACATAAGGAGTAGGGGCCAGAGCCAAGATTTGAACCTGTGTCTTTTCATTTCAAGTTCCCCCATGTTTCTACAAACTGAGGGTTGCTTGAGGGGAGGCGGTTGGGGGGATGGGGTAAGTGGGTGATGGGCACTAAGGAGGGCACTGGGTGTTGTATGCAACTGATGAATCACTGAATTCTATCTCTGAAACTAATAGTATATGTTAATTAAATTGAATTTAAATAAATAAATAAATAATAAATAAATAAAGTTGCCTCATGTCTCTACTATTTCCAGCCCCTTCTGGTCAAAGCCATTACTCAGTCCTTAATCATAGTTCTAACTTTTACTCCTTCATGTGTATATGTGGGTTTATGAGATTGTGACCTTTGTTAAGACAGATTATAACATAAGCATCTCTTTTGTTACCACAGTGCTTATTTTGGGCTAAATCTATCGTGTAATAGGAAAAGTTTAGAGACTGTCTGCTCACCTCTAAATATTTAATCTCCTTCCTCTGGGAACCACCCCTCCATCGTTAGGGGAATTTCCCTTGTAGCCACTTGAACACCTGTGATTTCGACACACCCACCATAGCTGATAGGATTAGGGATAGAAACCTCAAATAAATTGGGCCAATATGTTTTCCTACCCTGGAAATTTGGAATTGTGATTCAAACATGACAAGATGCCTCCTTGTTCTGTATTGTTACAGCAGACTCCCCCTTTGAGGCCGAAGCTGGCTAAAGATGCTTTGTGCTACTTAAAATCACTAATCAATACAGAGAAGAGGTACAAAAGATCCTGTTGGATGGAACTGAACCAAATTCTATTCATTTTTAGCTTTCCTGAGGCCAAGAGGGGGAAGCTGGCTTTGTAACTTTTTCAAGTCAGACCTTTACAGAGTTCCCTCGTTATTTGTTCAAAATGCTGGGGATACTATGAATTTCAGCAATACATATACACACAGACACATATTTTTAAAATATAAATTGCTTTCTGATTATTGCCTTTTAGAACTATCTGCATTATCACTTTTCTTCTTTGGACAAATTCTTGTAATGATGGCAAATGACATTCTTAACTTGACTGAAAAATCTGCTTCAGAGACACTTGTTCTTAAGCCCAGGTTTTATTCTAAAGTTGAAAACTGACAAAGCAAAACACACACGCACAATGATGACCAATCATAACTTTAAACATATCCATTAACACAGTCTCATTTTCATCAACTACGTTTTCTCTGCATAATAAAGCATGGTAAAGAAAGAAAACCTTCATTAAATGCCAAATTCCTGAGGTATAACTTATCAATACTGATTTGCATAATTCTGTTGGGTAATGAGGCTATCTGAGGAAGTGAAGTTTGCCCTTAAGGCATGGAAGCATTTTAATTTTATCTACTAACTATATCTTCATAAACTGTACTAAATGCATCCTTCTGTGAATATTAGGCCATTTAACCTTCCTTACTAATGACATAACAATCATTCCATTAGGTTATAGGTACCCCCTTTGAGATTTCTTTTCTCATTGAAGGTATTTTTTTTTTTTTTTTTAGCATTCACTTAAACCTCATTTAACTGGGACAAAAATTATCCTAGGATTGGTTTCTGGTAGGGGGAGTTGGGGAGAGGTGAGGAAAGAGAGATGGAGAGGACTTAAGTAATACTGGATCCCATACTCGTCTTCTAGAGAGGACCTCCGCACAGTTCGTCCTCACAAACATCAGTTTCGGTACCTGGCAGCCATACAGCGAGGCCTTCAGAAAACACTCGAGGGTGCTTAGGGGTATTTGCTCTTCATTAAATGATCCCAGACTGCTGTGCCTTCTCCCTGCTGTGTTCTGTCTCCATTCCTGCCGTTAGCTATCACTTCGCCCTGTAGCCAGTGCGTCTGTTCCTAATGGCTTCTCTCCATCTTTCCACATTTTTGATGTGTTTCATTTTCTTCCAGCAGCAGCCTAGGAAAAACTGAAGCATTCCAGGGGAAAACCACAGATGCAAGCTTGCTCTTTATTGCCCTAATTTTGTTCACAATGCTGTTAGAGCACTCTGGAAGTGGAATAACTCGTTCTCTTCTCCTATAGAGTAGTCCCCAGGATTTGGAGACTCGTTCTGTCTGTCCTGCTCATGGCATTTTCACATACTGGGAAGGGGTGTGGCTTTCTTTCTGGATGTTGATCCAAAATCTGACATTAGGTAAGAAAAGTATTATTGCATTTGCTCTTGAAGAGTGCAGCCGTCTGATAATTGCTTCCGATTTTTTCTAGCTTTTTCTACCTGCCCAGCTAGAGATTACATGGCCCAGCTTCCTTTTCAGTTATGTGTGGCCCGGTGACTGAATTTTCTCCTATGAAAAGTGACTAGAAGAGATAGGTGCAACTCCCCCCCCACCCCTATTTTCCTAACAGAAAATCGCTTCCTCTGGACTTCTTGTTTTCCTCTGTTCTTCCCAGACTGGAAGGCAGACTTCAGAGACCAGACTTGATCACGCAGACGAGGATGGCAGCCTAAGGTATAGTACTGTTATGGAACACACAGGCACTCCCTTTCCCGGGACTAGTCAAGAGAGTTGCATACAAGGAAATAAATCTCCATTTTATTTGGACAACTCTAATTTGGGGTCTTTTCATTACACCAATTGAGATATTACCCTAACATAGAAATCTTATGAAATTCCCAAATATTTAAGGGAGTGTATTCTAAAAGTTGATTTGGATACTGTACAACAATGCAAAGAATGAATTACTGGTAATAAACTACTGATATGGGAAAGAAAGAGGTAAACTCTTTTCACTTGCAGATGACATAATTGTGTATGCAGAAAATCCTAAGGAATCCACAAAAAGCTGTAAAAATTAATGAATTTAGCAAGATCACAGGATAGGTGAATGTTGAGCCACGCATGAACTTAGATGCACTGCCCCTACTGAATGTTTTGAGAATAGGAGTTCATTTATTTGTTCATTCATTCAATTCTTTTGATGAGCAAGCAGTGCTCACTACATATCGGCTCTATGTAAATTGCTGGAGATACATAGATTACATCGATGTGCAAGGTAGAGCCCCTGGTCCTAAGAGATTTTGGTCAGGGAGCCAGACATTTAAACCAATAGTTTAAATAATATATGGAAATGAGGAGGCAATGTGGCGAACAGCTAAAATTGGGCTTTGGCATCAGTCAGACCATTGTTCAAATCTCAGCCTCATCTTCTGCTGGTGGGCTTATACAACTCTCTTGACTTATCTAGTCCTCGGTTTCCTTATCTGCAAAGTGGGAGCAATCATTCCAATTATTATTTGGCACTGCAGAGATGCATCAGAGGTAAGAGAGAATTACATTGAATAGTAGTGACATGTGCTCAATAAATTGTAGGTATTATGATTGTGGTTATGGTTATGATTCAAGAGTTGTACCCCAACTGCTATGGAAACTTGGATGAGCAAGTGTTAACTCCACCCAAGGAATTCTTCACAGAAGGATGACATGTAATCTGGAGTCTCCTATGTCTGGGACCAGGGGCAGTAGACAAAGACCATAACAGTAGGCAAAATGATATAGCTTCTCTTTTTCATTCTTCTTGCCTATTTTGCTTTTTAGCCCTTGAG